ATATATCCTCGTTAATGTAACAAAGTCAGGGGTAGCCCTGTGGCTGCCCTGGCATTCGATCCAAAGTTTAATAAAACATACCAGACCCCAAAGTGGTCACCTTAACATTAAAAAAAAAAAAAAAAATTATAATAAATTTTTTTCTTTCATGATAATAAAAATTTAATAATATTTAACAGCTTGAATTTTTCATATGAAATTAGAAGAATTAAAAAAAGACCTTTTTAATAGAAATATACTTGGTTGAGTAATAGCACATATATATGTAGTAGAATTTCAAAAACGTGGTCTTTTCCACGTGCATTTACTATTAATCTTTCATCCAGATGATAAACTACATGGTGCTGATGATTATGATTCTATAGTGTTTGCAGAAATATCTAATACTATAGAACAACCTGGTTTATATCAAACAGTAACCTTCTTCATGATTCATAGCCAATGTGGATCTTTCAATAAAAATGCACCATATATGAAAGAAAACATATGTACAAATTATTACCCGAAAGAATTTATTCAAGATACAAGAAAAGATGATAACTTATATCCATTATATCAGCAACACGAAGATGGAAGGCATATACTAATAAGAAATGCAAAACTAGATAACTACTGGGTTGTTTCATACAATCCTTATCTTTCATTAAAATACAATTGCCATATCAATGTTGAAGTATGTTCAAGCATTAAATCTATAAAATATTTGTATAAATACGTGTATAAAGGCCATGATCGTACAGCCTTGCAAGTAATAAATAATGATGAAAATAACCAGTACTTAGACGCTAGGTGGGTCTCTTTTTTTGAATCATGTTAGAGGATTTTCAGATTTTAACTTTCTAACATTAATCTGTCAGTACAATGCCTACAAATACATCTTCCTGACTGACATAATGTGACATTTTCTGAAATATCAAATATAAATAATGTTCTTAGTAATGAAAAAATAAAAAAAACTACACTAACTGAATATTTTAAAATGAACGAAATCGACCTACAAGCCCGCAACTATTTGTATCATGAATTTCCAAGGCATTACGTTTGGAATAAAATGACCAAAAAATGGACAAAGCATCACCAAAGTGAAATGATTGGAAGAATATACGCAGTTAACCCAATTGAAGAAGAATGCTATTATTTACATGTACTACTAAACAACATTAAGAGGCTATATCATTTAATGACTTAAAATTAGTAAATAGCTATTTGTATTCAACTTTTAAAGAAAGTGCAATGAAACGAAACCTTATAGAAAAAGAAACATGTATAGTGAAACTATATAGGAAGCTGCTCAATTTTAAATGCCCTTTGCTTTACGATAATTGTTTACTACAATTTTACTATTTGAAGAACTAGGTGATGTTTGAACTCTGTGGAATAATAGCTTTGCAGCAATGTCAGAAGATTATGCAAAAAAAGGAATCCCAAATAATTACCTCCAGATTAATGCAGTTCTTTTACAAATAAAACATCTCTTGGAACAACATCACAAGTTTTTAAATAAATATGATCTTCCCGCGCTTACTTCATCAGATAATAATTTAAATGAATTACCAAAATTGTTACTTAGTAAATTAAATATTCTAGTAACTAACAAAGATCTTGCAAAAATTGAAATGTTAAATGAAAATCAAAAATTAGTATATAACACTGTAATAGAACGTATTGAAAAAAATCAACCTGCAACTATATTTGTAGATGGACCTACAGGTACTGTATATGTACATAGAATCTAAAATCAAAATTAGTTTTAAAAACGTATATAACACTAGATAATGACTTAATTTCATAAAATCTATACGAAAATAAAATATATATATATTTTTTTTTTTTTTTTTTTTTTTGCAAATGCCATAGTTGAAACTTTATTTAATAAAATAGAATGAAATTCTACATTAAAGATTTCAAAACTACATTTGTGCTACTATATTAGGCACCCAATGTGACATTATACCCTCTAGT